GTGGGACGGGAGGTCTGAGGGGACTCTAGGAACAGGTGTCAGTGACAGTGCCAGGAGGACCCCGGCCCACTTGCTGCATCTGAGGGGGTGGGCACGGAGGGTGTGGCCCGGTTCAGAGAATTCAAGGAGATGCACAGGGCTTTCCATGTGTCCCTGTGTCCCAGGCACTGGTGCCAGTGGATGGGGGTGGGAGCATGTCCAGAGCCCACAGGGCTGAGGGTCTCAGGGGTAATAAGGGCTGAGTGAACCCTAAAACCCATTTCAGAGGGCTGACAACATGGAGCCTCAGACCCCACATCCAGGGGCTGAGAGAATTCAGGGGACGATGAACCCTACGTGTGTGGGGCCTGAGGAAACCCTCATAGAGCCCAGGAACCCCCAGTTCTGTATCCAGGACTGAAAAGGCCCCAGGTGAACCCAACCCCTGTGTCCTGGGCTGATGAGGGCCCAGGTCACCTGACCCTTTGTCCTGGCCTGAGGCCCCAGGCTGACCCTGACCCCTGTGTCCTGGGTTGACAGGGGCTCAGGTCACCTGAACCTCTGTCCAGGGCTGACAAGGCCCCAGGTGAACCCAACCCCTTTGTTCTGGCCTCTGTCCAGGGCTGACAAGGCCCCAGGTCACCTGACCCCCTTGTCCTGGCCTGATGAGGCCCCAGGTTGACCCTGTGGCCTGGGTTGATGAGGCACCAGGTGGCTTGACGCCTGTGTCCTGGCCTGATGCGGGCTCAGGTCACCTGAACCTCTGTGTCCAGGGCAGACAAGGCCCCAGGTGAACCCAACCCCTTTGTCCTGGCCTGATGAGGCCCCAGGTTGACCCTGACCCTTGTGTCCTGGGTTGATGAGGCCCCAGGTGACGTTGACCCCTGTGTCCAGGGTGGACAAGGCCCCAGGTCACCTGACCCCCTTGTCCTGGGCTGATGAGGCCCCAAGTAATCCTGACCCCTGGTCCTGGGCTGACCCCGCCCCCGTCCCCGTCCCGGTCCCTCTACCCAGCGTCCCGGGCTGACCTGGCTGGGCCCCCACTCACCTCTGGCGCTG